TTGAGAATACAGCAGGAAATGCACACGATTGTACATTAGAGACAGATCTGGGTGCTGGTGAGGGTGGCAGAGGGGGCAGGACTGGGGAAGGGATGGAGGAACTGGGGAAGGGTCACTGCCAGGGGCTGATTGTGCTCGTGTGGGTGGAAAAAACAGATTTAAGCACTCTGATGGAGCAAAGAGAAGGAGTTAAACAGGAAGATTCTTGTTGGAATTCAGCATAACAAAAAGCAAAAGTCACCATCCTTGCCCAGGAGTTCTCCCAGYGAGGCTCTGCTGTTAGAAAAGCTCCCCACAGCCGCTCAGTGCAGCTGGGCACTCCWGAGGAAGGGTCACTTATTTTCAGCATCTGTTGCTTAGAGACACCTCGGCTTTGTGTGAACTCGGTGAGGATTCTGTGCTCTCTGGCTGGGAACAGCACATTCTAAATAACTGCAAAGATGCATTAACAGAATGCTTATGCCTTTCTTTTTTTCTTTTTTTTTTCTTCTCTTTTTTGAGCAGAAATAAAGCAAAATGAAGAGGAGCTGAGMGAGTCAGAGCACTCCTCACACTGAGCTGGGCTCAAGAGTTCATGGATTTCCACACAAATGTTCTCCTTCAGGATGTTCCCCTGGCTCTGAGGATGCTGCACAGCTCCTGCTCTGAGCTGCAGCTCTTGATCCCTGCCAAAACCCCCTCTTTATCCCTGCCAAAATCCCCTTTTCAAAGGTGTTTTAATTGTTTTCTGTGCAGGGGTGACAGAACTATGGGTGCCGGGTTTCACTGCTCCTCTGCTGCAGAGAGGCTGCCAAAGTGCCCTTGGAGAGGATTTCTGCTGCTCCCTGAGAGCTGCATTTATCAGTGCCACGGGAGAAAGGGAAATTAAACCTTCCACAGGAGAAGGGAAGTCTGAAACACCCAGAGATTCCCATGGAAGATTAATTCACTTTTTTTGGTATCAAAATACGTTTGATGAAAAACTCTACAGTTTTCAGGCAGTTCACTTCCAATACTTATTTCCATTTTYTTATGAAAAGCAGAGCCTTAGGGCAAGAATCTTTTCTTTTCCAGAACGTAAAGAAAAATAGACATTTTGCCAAAAACAGTGCTCATACAAACAAATTGGATCTATTTCTATTTATTTGGCCACAGATGTATAAAAGCTCTGTAAACAGAACTGTTCAGGTGGGGGCAATGGAGTACTCCACCCTCTTTTACTGTCTCACATTATCTGTGCACCTCATTGACAGAAAAATATTTAAAATATATGAATATTCAAGATAACATAATTGCAACAATTTCTTAGAGCACTGACAATTGGTGTTCCAAGGGGTGATTTAAATGGGCCCTTTTGAACCTTGGCTGATGAATTTCTGAACACGGTGAACGAACACAAAAATGTGCTTAAAATCCGTAGCATTTGAACATTTACTTAAGAGGGTTCCAAGGGCACCTGGGGGAAGTTTCCAAGTGTCAGGTTGATTCAGTAGCTTTACTCAGCAAATGTTTCAGGAGTTTGTAACTGAGCACAGATTGTTGTGCAGCTCCACAGCCTGGGCTCTGTCTGTGCCTGACTCTCGTCTTCACACCAATTACACCATGGAGATTCCAGCTTTTTTCACTAAAACAATTAGTACCACAAGATAATCCTAAATGGTCCATTTAAAGGGCATGTCTTGGACAAAGATTTGRGATGAAATTTTCCTTTTGTCATAAAGGGAAAGGCAAAGCTGTGCAAAAACATGCTGCACAAAGTTTGGACCAAAAATTGAGGGAGCAGACCCCAATTTTCTATTGGAAATAGAACCATTTAAGGGCTGTGAGGAACTGGAAGGTCCATTCACATCCAGCMTTCCCTTGTTATGCATTTCAGACCTCTTAAGGAAAGCTTGAGTCCAAAACTTCTATATGAAATATCTTTGATCTCCAATTACCAATATTGCATAACACTAAAACTGAGTGCAGCAGCCCATTAATCATCACMATCCTAAATCTGTGCATTTAAAGCTAGGCCTTTCAGAACAATTCCCCAGTGGAGAATCAACCAGTCTTTCCCTGACATTTAATTGGTGGCTGTCTTGTTTAATCCWGGATAATTCCCTGAATGCTGCTCGTTAAAACAGGGTTAATAACAGCACATTCCTCCTGAGGTATTTTGTCTCACAAGATGGGAGGTCTTCAGGCACAACTTCATTTTATTATCAGCATGAAGAGTTCCTRGAAAAATTATCCTTGGGAGCTGGCTGGGGTCATTAGGTGCTGTGCAGGTAATAAAGATAATAACTGTTAGATAAAAACTGGGTGACCTGAGAAATCCAACCCCCATCTCGCAGAGATCAGGTAATGCCAAGGGTGGGGCAGGAATTTGGATTAATTGGCTTTTTGGATACAGAAGAGCT